CAGTGGTACAGTGCACTTCGTGCTTCTGTTTTTCACCCTAGGAGTCAAGAGTGCGTCCATAAATGCGCCAGGGTTTAGGCGTACGGCAGTATTTTGAGCGTCTTGGGCGACCAGGAAAGTATTGTTATCAATCTAGCGCCTTGAATGTACAGCTATGATCCCTGCAAACGATGGGGCGTGTGACGCGGCGCGTATGGGAGCGCAGCCAGGGCGGCCTTATTCCAACGATGGTGCCGTCTGAGCCCACTACAGTTCGTGGAAATCTGCCCTAGCTGCGCTTCAAGCCACGTCCCCGTCCTACGCCCTATTGGTTGCAGAGATTATGACTGTACGCCAGCGCTTCGAGCGTCGGCTTGTATTTCCACGATGATCGATACCTATACTTTCTTAATGACTCGAAACCCTCAAAACTGTGGCGCAAAGGATGAGCGCACTGTACACCACTAGACAAAGACGAGCCTTTCTTCTGACTTCCACTTTCTTCTATCTTTTGAAAATCTGAATATGAAACACGTGAAAGAGGCGCCAAAAAATTTATTGCAAAAGCTCAAAAGATTCAAAAGAATCTGAAACTTTTGGATTCTTTTGAATCTTTTGAGCTTTGCAATGAATTTTTTGGCGCCTGTGTTCGTGTTTCATATTCAGATTGCAATGAGGCTTCAGAACAGCACAATATTACTATACTTTTGAAAATCGTTCATGGAGTGTATGCCAGTATACCAATGTTACTTCCGAATGCGCCTCTTTGACACCTTGTAGCTCTCAAAATTAAGGCACATCACGCATGGGTTTTGCGTATTTATTTTGAGGCATGAGACTATGTTCACACATTTTGGCCTAAGTTATTTAGTCGCCCGACTCGCGCGACTGAAAGCTCCACCGCTAGGGCCCATTCAACTCTAGAGAATAGGAGAGTCGTGGAATCAAAGGTGTGGGAGAATGCGCGTCAAAGAATCAGATAAGAGTCGATCTATTCCTCGACTCTCTTATCCTCCATGAACGCCAGAACGATGCCTATATTCCCCCTTAACTATACACAGAAGAAACCGGAATTCTCAAGAATTTGTGCGCAAGATTTCATAACTGTGCTCCGTTGCTAGATTCCGTTGTACTGTAGCCTTGAAAGGAAACTTCATTTCTCTTGGGCGTTCGCATATGTATTATATCTAGGTTATTTCAGCTATCGACGAGCTAATCGCAGGGTCAGACTTCGAAAGCGAGGACTTCCTACTTGATGCCTCTCTTTTTGGAAATCTCAGTCTTTCAAGTGCTTCACATTTACAACGAACTACCTCTCACTCCAGTCA